AGAGAACAGCATCGAAACATGTATATTATCTAGGGTGAAACAGATCACCAGCCCAGGTTGGATGCATGAGACAAGTGCTCGGGCCTGGTGCACTGGGAAGACCCAGAGGGATCGGGTGGAGAGGGAGGTGGGAGGGGGGAATGGGATGGGGAATACATGTAACTCCATGGCTAATTCATGTCAATGTATGACAAAAACCACTACAATATTGTAAAGTGATTAGCCTCCAACTAATAAAAAAAAAGAAAGAAAAAGAAAAGGATTTTATTTTTATATACCCTAAACCATTAAGGGGGAAAGATATCATGTCAGCAATTGCTCTAAGATGAGAAAACTGGAGAAAGATGTTTTAAAATGTGATAAAATGTTAATATTTGAGAAATCTGAATGAAGGGGGTTCAGAAATTCTTGGCATTGTTTTTGTAACTTTTCTGTAAGAACAAATTTTTGTCAAAATAAAAAGTGAAAAAAAGTTGAATGTAAGTAAATGATCTAAGGAATTCTGATCTTGAAATCATTATAGTTTTAGCCCCTCAAGGTATAAATATTGAGATTCTACAATAGTTATTTTCAGAAGAATAAACCTTCTTCAGAACAAGAAGATGGGGCAATTCTTTATACTTCTAGTTGTTCCTGATATAGAATAAATATGAAGCCATGAGATCAAATTTACCTGAACAAATTTTAAAACATGTGCAATATAAAAACCATTTCTCACCTTTATTTCTCCATCAAGTTCTGAAATATAAAATGTCAAAAAGTGTGGCAAGTTAAATATTTGACTTGCTAGCCTATTGATTTCAGATCTTTAGGATTTCTTAAGTTGTATTCTCATGTCTGCTTATGTTAAAACACACTGGAAACTTCTTTATGTGAACAAATAACACAGTTCATTGATGCCTATTTAATAAGTCTGAAAGAAAAGGGTGTAGTGTGGAGGAAAAAAAAAACATTTCTTAGAGAATCAAGAAACATTCTAGATAATCAGTTAAGTAATTTTGTGATTTTGAACAAATTGCCTGACCTAAAAAATACGCAGATTGGAGTGTTATGGTAGCAAAACTGGGCTCTCACTATGAGTTGACATTTTAGTTGAGCATTTATATAATCTCTAAGTTCCCTTTAAGTATCAACATTCTAACACTTGGAATATATCACATTTATTTTAAATTGTTATAGAAATGTATCACTGTGGCGGAACAACTTTTGGCCATAGCTATGATGTATTGATGCTATTGCTGCAGTGGGAACTCTACCGTGAAGTAGGAAATGAAGAGAGGACTTGCCTCTGTATCCCAACACAGAAATGCATGGCCTCCCCTCTGAGTGCCCACACACTCGCTTTGTAAATGCATTTTCTTCCTCTTTCTGAAAGCCTACTTCCAGACAACTTTCCCAAACTGACCACCCAGCCTCCAGTTGCAATCCTTTCGTTCTGTGCCCCAGAGACCACCCTTGAGGCCCACTCGGCACGACCATCTAATATCTCTGCATTTGCTTCAGTGCTCTGCCCCTGATGTGGCAGCTGGGTCCTGGGCCTTCCTGAAGCCAGGTATCCAGCCTCTAGGCCCAGGGTGATCTGCTCAAACTGGACACTCACTCGGTACAGGAAGTACTGTGTGCTGACTAATTCAGGAAAGTAAACCAAACCACTATAAGTAAATCAACACAGCATTTCCGGAAACAGAAGCTGAAAGAAAGAGAATGCTGTAACCTTGCAGAAAAGCTCCACCCTTCACTAAAATCTAGGGGGAAAACCTAGGTCAAGGAGAAATAAATCTGCCTCTCATCCTCATTTCAACCCGTATTCCATCAAGGCTGTCAAGTGGATATTTCAGGCATAGCTCTGTCCGTGGCTAGCTTGAAATTCGCCTGGCTAGTGAGCTTCCCTTCCATTTTAGGTTCTGGAGTTCTAGAACCAAGTAGAAAAGATTTCCTACTTCTTGTGGTCCTGCAACCATGGCTTGTTACACTCCAATCTCATTTGCTTACACTCATTTATAACATGCCTAGGCATTCACATTTCCTTGAGTTTGCACATTCTGTTTGAAATGCTGTTACCCCTAGTCCCCATAGCAAATTCATCCTTTCTTGAAAATGAACCTGAGCAATCATCTCTCCCAGGGAGTCTTGGGCACACTCCTAAACTCCTCCTACATTTTGTGCACAGGATTGTTCCATTAGAGAAAGGATTATATTGTGTTACATTTGTATATTGCTGTGACTGTCCTCATGCTACTCTACAAATACCATATCAGTTATTCCTGTGTCTCCTGTACTTAGCACATCCCTAGCTCCTGGTCTGTTGCAAGGTAGGAGTGAGGAAGGTGAACAGACTTCATGTGCTAGTCTGAAGCCCCCTGGACAGTAAAAAATCAATCTGAAGTCATAAGAAGCTAAAGACCAATAGTTTGAAGTTTCCAGTGTGTGCCTCTTGTCAATTACCAAGTGTGAGGTCACTTAGGTAGTAGTAGATATGAAAGATGAAAGGCTGGGCTTTGACTAATTCCTTACTTATTTAAAGGTATCTAATTCTCTTATTGCAAGGCTAAATACTCTTAATTGGCCCACACAGGAAACATCACAGGAAATCATGCTACAGTTCAGCTTCTGCTCTAATTTAACCGCAATTTCAAAATAGTGCAGATTCCAGTGGAGATTGAGAAAGCAAAACTTTGTTTAGCCAGCAGCTAAGATTCTGTTTTGTTCAGTTCTGTTCCCTTGCAAGCATATCTGATATTTCTTATCTCCCAAGGGAGTTCCTTAAAGGCAAGACTGTTTGCAGGACAAGTACGTTCTTTCTATTAACCTCCCCCCACCCCCCCCACCTCTTGCCCCTACCAGGCATAATACCTGGCCCTAGGATGTGCTTAACATCTGATTATTAAATTAATTCATTATAAAGTCTGGTCTTTATTTTGAAATTCAAAGGTCAATAACCCCTGAGATGCTTATAGAATCTATAGCCCTTTGCCCCATTCCCATGCCTCATCATTAGGTGGATGAGTGTGTTTCTACAGAACTTTCCTTTCCATTCACTGTACGATTCTTGGAGATCTTGGAAGGAGAAAGCTTTCACCTAGAGTTTCTTGTGGTAATCTGACCCCCAATGACTATAGTGGTTACAGAAAGCCAGGACTGAAGCTTGGCTATCACTTTCTGAGCCCATAATACCGCAGTCATTATTTATGGGGCCCAAATTAGAAATCCTTGCAATATTGTTTTGTTTTCCAAGTCACCCAGATTTGGTACATGTCATATTATATTTATCAATATCCTTGTTTTGAATACTAAGGGAAAGTGTTAGTTGCTCAGTCGTGTCTGACTCTTTGTGATGCTGTGGACTGTAGCCCGCCAGGCTCCTCTGTCCATGGAATTCTCCAGGCAAGAATACTAGAGTGGGTAGCCATTCCCTTCTCCAGGGGATCTTCCTGACCAAGGGATCGGANCACCAGGCTCCTCTGTCCATGGAATTCTCCAGGCAAGAATACTAGAGTGGGTAGCCATTCCCTTCTCCAGGGGATCTTCCTGACCAAGGGATCAGACCCAGGTTTCTCATACTGCAGGTAGATTCTTTACCATCTGAGTCACCAGGGAAGCCCATTGAATACTAAGGATAAGTTTATTGGGGGGAATCCTGAGGATCACGGTGCTCTTCCTGCTCTTTTAAAACAACTAATCTAAGCAGCTCTTAGTGGTGTCTATCTTTTACCTCTTGAAACACAGGTTCTGAGAATGTCTTGTGTCCTTGACTCTGAGCTGGGCATTAAGATTAATCACAGTCCTTCTGTTTAGTATCTCTGAGGAGTCACTAACTTTACTTTTGAAAATTTCTCAAATTAAGAAGATCTTAATCTCTCAGCTGCCTCTTAGAATAGTTGTAGCTGTTGGTTCTCTGCTCACTTTAAAATTACAAGACCAATCTTCTAAAGACCAGATCAAGTAGGAAATCTTCCAGTTTCATTTCACACAAGTGGCTCTAGTCATCAGTAATGACCAGACAGAGAAGTTCAAGTTCTGAAGCAATTTAAGCACATGAAAACCATGACCCATCAAATAATTGGAACCCAGTTAACTGAAACTCTTTCTGGCCAGATTGCCTTTTGAGGGCCACTAGGATCTTGCTGATAATTTTACTACCTGCAGTAAACATTTACAAAAGCCTCACGAAAGTTCACAGCTTACTAGAGAGATAAACAGAGACTCCTAAGAAGATACCTTAGCCCACAGAATATGGTTCAGTTCTCTCCTTTCAAGCCAAATTCAAATGTCACCAATCTTACCTTTAAGCAGGCACTTTTCCTCTCTCCTTTAGGCAGAATTGGTGATTATCAATGAAGCGCCAAGACAAGAGTGGTAACACGGATGTCAGGGCTATTTGTGTAAAAGGAGAAGTGAAGGGGGAATAAATGTGATCACACTGTGACGACAGGAAGCCCAGATGAGGAGAGGGAGGAAGTGAGGCTGGGCCCGCCCTCTTTAACCTCAGAAATGCAATCCTTCCTCTGTGAATTTTCAGACACCTTCTGTCACAGCTCACCCAAATATCTAAGCCAGTTTCCATGAAAAACAGGAAAACTTGAAGACCAAGTTGATTCAGGCAGGAATCTGTGAGAATTGGTGGGTTCTGGAGTGATCTGACATTGATTTTTGTGTAGAAAAGGGCAGCATTTCTCAATCAAAATGACATCTCAGAATTACCTGAGGATCTGCTCAAGAATAAGTATATCTGACCCCACCATACTAATTCAGTCCCAGTTAAGTAGATAGACAGGAATGGAACCCAAAAATCAATATTTTGAGAAGTTTCTAGGAGTGAGAATTAGGAATGTCTCCTAAGCCACTTCACCTTCTCCCCATTCTCCCTCTGGCCACCTTCCAGAAGCTTTGTAGTCTCCAGTTTGATTGAGTCACTACTTTCAGACTTCCATGTCTCAGAAGCTGGACTGACCTTACGCAAGTATATTGTCAGGGGAAGACTCCAAGGCACAGTTCAAGGGCACTAGTAGAATTGATTTGATTAGTAGAGACAGCCCCAGATTCAGACTCCCAAGATTTGGGTTTCAGTCCCAGCTTTATTTGTGTTAACTGTGAGACACTGAGAAAATCTCTACCTCTCAACTTCAGCTTATTAACAGTAACATCCAATAGTTACTATCTTCCCTCACCCTGAGACTTTAAAATTCTAGTGTAACTTCTGAGCAGGGTTGACTTATGGGGAAAACTGAGTTAAAGAAGAAAAGATTTGACTGCAGACTGTCTTGTCAGTCTTTAGTGTTCTCTTGTGTGTGTGCGTGTGCTTAGTCACTTAGTCGTGTCTGAGTCTTTGTGACCCCACAGACTGTAGCCCACCAGGCTCCTCTGTCCATGGGGATTCTCCAGGAAAGAATAGTGGAGTGGGTTGCTACACCCTCCTTCAGGGGATCTTCCCAACCCAGGGGTCGAGCCCAGGTCTCCTGCATTGCAGGTGAATTCTTTACCATCTGAGCCACCAGGGAAGCCCAAGAATGCTGAAGTGGGTAGCCTATCCATTCTCCAGGGGAACTCCCCAACCCAGGAATCAAACTGGGGTCTCCTACATTGCAGGCAGATTCTTTACCAGCTGAGCTACCATGGAAGCCCAATATTCTCTAAACATTCTCTAAATATGTAGATTTCCCCAAATTTGTTTGATCATAGAACAGTGTGTGTGTATGTGGGAGAGAGAGAGAGGGATAGAGAAAGATTTCTCAGGAAACTATTTTTCAGTATAACTATACTTCAGGAAAAGCTGTTACAAACTCTTCTCTCTTCAGCTGGCATCGCTCTGAGAAATCACTGCCCCTCACTGGGACTGCTGTCATATTGACAAGACCCTGTAGTGGAGTAATTGAGGAAAGACCTCTTGATGGCTTTCATTACTATCTTTCTGCGTCAAAGAGGCACATCCCTATGTACAACCTGGTCTCTCATTTGAGCGCCACAAAGGCACCTCAAGTACAGCATCCAAAACTCAGCTTAGTAAACTTAGCAACCTCCCACTCAGCCTGCTCTCCACCCCCACCACCCCCATTACTATCTCATGGAAAGCTTGACTAAACTCTCAGTTGCCCAAGTCAGAAACAAGGCATCCTTTTATGTTACTGTCTGTCACATACCGCCACATGTTATTGTTAATGATGATTAAGGAAGACAATTTAGGTGACAAGGACAAACTTTATCTAACACTTCATAAAGTAGATGGTCTCCATTCAGAGAACTGCAAAATGGGACAGAAGGCAGGAAGTTTTTATAGAACAGAAAATAAAAAGGAAGGAAGAGAAAAAGAGAAAATATCTGATTGACTGTGGCCACATAGTCAACCTTGATTGGGGTGAAAAGGAACAAGGAAGTAATTATAGCACCTACAGTTGATGTGTTGACTGGTCAAGCAAAGCATTTACAAGAATACAAAAGTTATAAAAAAAACTTCAGTGTGCTGATGTAGTGCTTGGGGCAAGAGCAGCTCCATCCTGGGCCTTAAGAACTATGTCAAAATTATCAACCACTCAGTCTTTTAAATTATTGTTTTTGTTGTTTAGTCACTAAGTCATATCCAACTCTTTTGTGACCTCATGGACTATAGCCCACCAGGCTCCTCTGTCTACTGGATTTCCCAGGCAAGAATACAGGAATGGGTTGTCATCTCCTCCCCCTGGGGATCTTTCCAACCTGGGGACTGAACCCATGCATCCTTCATTGCAGGTGGATTCTTTACCACTGAGCAACAGGAGAAGCCCCAAAAGTACCCCATAAAAAAGGATTATGCAGCAGTAAAAAAGAGAGAACTTTAGGAATATCAGGACACTAGAGCATAGAGTCTAGTCAAGACTAGAGTTCTTCATAGCAGAAAAATGATCATTTTAATTGAGAAAACATTTTCTTTAATGTACTCCTCTCTGTCATCCTACTGCGAAAGGCTAATCTAAGTGTTCCACCACTGAAGGCAACTGTCCCTGGTAGTCAGAAAAGGATAGGAAATTGTAAACCCACTCAGACCCAAACCTACAAGATTTCATTGAGAACTAATGTCATTTCCAACCATAGATGTTTAGTATCCATTTGGAGAAACAAGGGGAAAAATGGAGAACAAAACAATGTCAGGGCAGACCATGTTGTTAAATAATCCAGGAGAATGCTCAAAAACTTAAAAAAAATACTAAATTGGAGAAGGGATTTAGCAGAAGGTCAGACTCATAGCTTGGTTTTCTCAGTTAATGATATTGATCCAGAATCATAGGTAATAATGGAATCCAGGAATTTAGAAGACTTGCAGTTGGTCAGACATGGAGTTGGAATACAAAATATGGATGCTTCATTGTCAAGCAGAAGTACCTGTCAAAATGCCTCCTGAATGAACAAAACCTCACATAAACATGGAGAAATCATTAGGTTCTCATTTAGGCTTTCTTTTTTTAATGAGTTAGTCTGTTTTTATTATTAGAAAATAAACACTATTGAGATATGAGGCAAATACAGATAGAATCCTCAAGCTGAAGGTAGGCAGTATTTTTTTTATTATTATAGCTACAATAACCAACAATGATATGCCTTTCCTTTGAGACTTAATCCAATGTGGCCTGGATTGGCAAACTTTCATCTACAGCAGCCCCCTACTGGCATCACTGTCCCAGATACTACATGCCAAAAAGTTTGGCACTTTTTAACATAATGTCTGTGATATATTGTGACTACTTGATTTAGGCCCTAGGAAAAATAGGAGAAGTAGAAGTACAAATTGTAGAAGTAGAAATCCATTGTTGTACCCACAAAAGTTATATAGTATTATAAACCAATGTTGGTGCTTCCCAGGTGGCATGAATGATAAAGAACCTGCCTGCCAACGCAGAAGACATAATGAGATGCTGGTTCAATTTTTGGGCCAGGAAGATTCCCTGGAGGAGGGCATGGCTACTGACTCTACTATTCTTGCCTGGAAAATCCCAGGGACAGAGGAACCTTGTGGGCTATAGTCCATAGGATTGCAAAGAGTCAGACAGAACTAAAATGACTTAGCACATAAACCAATGTTATCTCAATAAAAAATAAATTTAAAAATTTAAAAAAAAACTGTCTTAATACATTCAGTCTGCTCTAACAAGAACACCATATATTTGGTAGCTTATTAACAACAGAAATTAATTTCTCATGATTCTGGAGGCTGGGAAGTCTAAGATCAAGGCACTAGTAGGTTTGGTATCTGGTGAGAACCTGCTTCCTGATTGACAGGTTGTCGTTTCCTTCCTGTGTCCTTACAAGGCTCAAGGGAGAGATGGAGAGCCCTGGGTCTCTTTCATAAGGGCACTAATCCCATTCATGAGTGCCCCACCCTCATGACCTAACTACTTCCCAAAGTCCCCATCTACTAATACCATCACATTGGGGATTATGTTTCAGTGTATGAATTTGGGGAACACTTTCAGTTTGTATTACATATCCCAAGGAGAAGAACTGAATTATGCAACTCAGAGCTAGAGTATGCTATAAAGGAAATAACAGAGCATTGGAAACTAGAAGGCACTCAGAGAGATGCTTTAAGTCATTTAACATCTTTGAATCAATTTCTTCATCTATTCTGTGTGGATCATTTCTACTTCATGGCCAAATGAGAATCAAGTAAGAAGCTATGTGGAAGAGCTTTATAAAATTTAAAGTATGATATGAATGTTAGTTGCTATCCTTAGCATATTCCTTAGACCACTCCTGGTATATCTTTCAGATTTTTCAGATTTAGAGCATAAAACCTAATGTGCTGAAGAGACTTCCCCAAGTGTCTCAGCTAGGAAAGAGCTCAGCAGATACCACAATCATCCACTCCTTCGGTCATTAGGGGGATGGTCAGACCCCAGAAGGGTGCACAAAAGTGGACCACATGTGCTAAAGACTCTTGATTTCTGCCTGAAAGTTGTGACTCTCTCTTATTAAGGCCCCATCTTCTTTAAGCTCACACAAATATGGACCAGGGAGAAACCACCAAGATGATATGGACTAGATGGACTTGTCCTCCTGCCTGAGTTCAGAGAGAGCAAGGTGATAAGCATCTATGGAAACACATTTACTCCCTGTGTTTGCAATAGTGGCTATCTTCTCTCCTAACTCCATCTGGTCTTGGCTGTACATCTATATCCCTCCTATCCATCAGTAAAGACCAGCATAGCCCTGGGACAAGAATCAGAAACCTAAAGTTCATTGTGTAGCCTTCCCTTTATTTCTTCTCAGAAGGAATCTAAGACTGCAGGTGACAAGAGGCTCTTTTTGCAGACCAGCCCACTCCTGAGTCTAAAAAGAGTGACCACATGACAGGGTGTGGTCATGCTACCTGGAGGTGTTCAGTGTCCCACAAAGACAGGCCTCCCTCATAAGC